GTGAGGGTAAGTAATAAGGGCTGCAGAATAACACAATAGGAAGGGAGGGGAAAAGGTTATGCCAAGAAACAGGGAAGACATACAACAGGTGCAATAATCATTAAGGCAATAATACAACAGGTACAGTTGGTCAAACAACCCGAGCCTGATAAGAGCTTTAAAGGTGAACACTGGGCAGCACCTCAGATTGGACCTGAAAACTAATTGGCAGCCAGTGAAGGGACTTCAAAATAGTGGTGACATATTCTTTTACTTTGTAAGCAGCCTTGAGAAGATCTGTGGACAGGTATCATATACATGTCTGAATAAACAGATAAGAGGCATAATAGCCAGAGTTAAACTCCAGAACATTTCACAATAGAAAAAGAAGTACTTTACTACAGAAGGCCAAAATGCTGAGGTGGCATAATACTCAAGCAGTTTTAAACCCCATTACCTCTCATGACAAAAAATCAGGTCTTTGGGAGGATCTGAATAAATCTGTGTGAAGAATAATCAGTTCTCTGAATATTGAAACTGCAAACACTCTGCATAATTATGCATATCTATCTACCTGGTATTAGGGCATAATTTCTAGGATGAAGGAAGTGATTAGCAGGCAGATGTATCTGAAGAAGCTGCCATTTTAATAATAAAGGCATTGATTACCTGCTGTCTCCCCCACCCACCCACACACCTCCAGCTTTCCCAGAACAGTTTTGAATCTTACGGCCTGCAGCATCTCTTGCGAGGATAATGTAGGTACACTAATTAAGTCAGCAAAGGAGTCATAGTATGATCATAAGCAAATCCACTTTTCCCTGGGTTGCTGATGGTGTGTCATATTGCAGAGATGTGGCTTGTTCGAAGACTTCTATGAATGCCTGCGTGTGATAACTTCTGCATAATAATTGGTATTAAAAGCTGAACTTAATTTTATAAATGTAAATAGCCCGTCTCTTCGAAGCGACATGATAGTGAAACATGGGGAATTTTTGGTGTGAAAGCAGCCTTGGAGATAGGGTTGCCAGGTCCCCCCCGCCACTGGTGGGAGATGAGGGATAGGGTTGTGAAATCCAGGTTGGGGATGAAACCTGTGGAGAATAGGAGCCTCAGTGGGGTACAATGCCATAGAGTCCACCCTCATACCATCCATTTTCTCCATGGGAACTGATTTCTGTAGTCCAGTCTTGAGATGAGCTGTAATTCCATGGGATCACCAGGTCCCATCTGGAGGGTGGCATCCCTACTTGGAGAGCATTGTCTGTATTCTGCACAATGACTGTTACCATCATGGGAGAGATCCTTCATTTGGGAATTCCACTTAGGTTTAATAAAAAATACATATGGTGTGGATTTTGGCTGGTCCTCCATGGAAGGAAGAATAACTGCTATCTGAAATCTTAGGCATATGTGGAGCTCAGTTCCCCTCTCACTTTAGAGTAGCTGTTGAAGATAATTGAATCTTTTGTACATATATCTCCATCTATATCTAGATGGAGGTCAGCTTGTCACATGGATAGTGCACTGTTCTCATGCTGGGGCTGCAATATCCCCCTTTTTAATCTACAGGACTGTGTGTTGTACAAAATTCTACAGGTCCGAAAATAATACATTTCTTTTCAGTCCTATGGCGATAAAATATTCTGCGGCAAGAGGGGAAAGCATCTGTCAACTGTTCTGGAATGCACACCATATTATTTCATCTATATATTTTCTCTTCCAGTCTGAATACCATTATGAATACACAGCCTGCAACAGTCTAGGCTCCAGATGGAGAGTAGCAGTGCCACACAACCCAGGACTCTGCACAGGATTGCCAGACCCCATCAGAGGCACAGAATGCTGTAAGTTATCATTGCTGCCACGATATCTTTCCCCACTTGCAGCTGATTTCAACATTTCAGAGAACCCTGAGCCAAGCTGAACTACAGGGCACAAGATCCCTATTGGTGGGATGCATGGGTGGGACAGCACTAGATATTATTTTACTGAAATGTGACATTTGCTATTTCCAGTGAAAGTAATCCCCTACTAGTAATTGAAAATGCAGAAGAGATACAGTTAAACCTCCTCTTCTTGCAATAGAACACCTTTCTGTCACATCGCTTCGCTTGTAACACATGATCAAAGTATTTGGGTCCCTGTGTTGGAAGTAAAACTATAAAGACATTTTATATTGCCCTATTTTAAGGCTGAATGGTAGATTTTAAATGGTTTTTTATTATTTGCTGTTTGTATGTTCTAATCTTAATTGACTGGCAAATGTTAATTTTACTGAGCCTATTTTATGCAGTTGAGAGATACAGCAGGCAGTTGGCAACCAGGGCTGCTGTGTATAATTAGCTTTATTAATTGATTTAAAACTTTGGATTGACTAAAAAGTCTTCCCCCATTAATTGGATAACAGATCTTTTAAAAAAATATATTTTGTTTTGAACTTCTTTTTAGAACTGCAAATAGAAAGTACCATCTTAATGGAGGCTTTCTTCTGCACAGGAGGGAATGCCTATTCTCAGATAATGGTAGCTACAATATACATGTGCATGATCTAAAAATAAAGAAAGTATGCTTTGGAACTATTGCTTGTACTCATGCGACTTTTGTTGATTAATCAACAGAAGTTAGTTGACGTTTCTTGAACCAGTAAAAACAAACACCTGCACTTACATTCAGAATGATGACGACTTGATTCACAGATCATGGCCTGAAGGCAGGTCTCGATCTGGTCAGGAGTTGGTTTGGAGGCCTCTTGGGAGCCCCATGTGCACCACCTTGAATTCAGTGATGGATGAAAGGCAAGACATATATGCAATAAATATACTAGATTTGGTTTTCTCTCAAGAAACTTGAAATGACTTCTGCATACTTTCCAGGAGATTTACCACTCTCGGACATTGATCTGGGTCAGGCTGGCTTAACCTCAACCGTTGGACTTTATCATGTACTTCTAGGCTATACTTCAATTCAAATAACAATAAGTTGGATTCTGTGCACTGCTAGAGTGGCAGAAGCAGATTTATCCTACCTTCAACTTCCCAACTATCCCTCTGACCAAAAAAGGCAATGCTGGGTATTGTGAGATCAGCATTGATAAAAGGATATACAACACAGGTAGCTGCAATGGGGAGAAGGAAGCAAGTACAATAACTCCCCCTGCTTCTTATGCTAGAAGCACTTCTGTTGCTGCATGAGGCTTTGCTGGCATGAGAGACATAGAGGGGTGATTTCACTTATTGGAGTTCCCCCTTCTCGCTGCAGTGTGTAGTATGGCTTTTTATCCACATGGGTCCCCCAACCTCCAGTATTACCTTTTCAGTGTTTGCTGAGGGTCATGGAAGAAGGAGGGCAAAATCTGTTGCCACCAACATATTTTGGTGCACAGGATCAAGCGCTATGTACAGGCAGGGGTAATGGTTTATAGGGAAGCAAACTCTCCTGCCAAATCAGTGAAACCCACTATATAGGAAGAAGGGGTACCAGCAGGTTTGTCTTCTGCCAGCATCTCTCCTAATCAGAGACCCCTGCACTGGCATACACGGGGCTGCAAAGGATACTTTTAACCTTCCAAATGTACTGTTGTGAAAGGATGTTGCTTTCTGGTGATTGCAAGTGAGAAATTGTCTTCTTGAAAGTAACACTCAATGCTTGGTAACCCTACCTGTAGGGGAACTGAACTGTGGCAAGAAGCCACAATCTTCTCCACTGCTGCAAAGCTTATTTTGCATGTAATGATTCAGGAAGGTGCAGTAATAAATTTCTGCTGCTCTTATTTAAATTTTTTTGCTTATCTCCCTGAGACCTCAGGGCAGGCTATTATTGCATACCATTAAAAAGTAAAAAATATTAAAGACCTTGTCGTTTTAGTGATGAGGTTGAAACATCATCATAGAACCATGGCAGGAGAGATGGGTGGAATGTGTTACAGCCCAAGGGCTTAGAACAATTAATACATTTTGATCTTGGCTTTTCCCACTTACATTGTGATATAAATCTGGAATGACTTTGACTGCAATTCCTTCCTTGCCGACAACTCTGTTGGCTTTGATCCCTCTCTCACTTTTTCCCCAAAACAACTCCATTGCAGAGAAATAATGTTGAGATCAGCATCTCATATAAGCAAGAAATCAATTTGGATCAATGGGGTGTTACAGCTGAAACAGCAGGCAGAAAGGAGCAGTTCCAGATCTCTGTGTTGTGGTGGAGAATATTTACAGGATAGGCACAAAGAAGGCAGATTCACAGCTGGTGAAGGCCCTTTAAATTACAGTGAAAATTCACTTGGCATAAAACCAGCTGGATTACTTAAATCAGGTATGAATTAATAGATGTAATGAAATGACCAGGACTCAGCTGCTTAGTTTGTCATTTTTTCATTCTTAGAAAGACTCATAGTCCATCAATGGTGACTCAGGGGAGCCTCCACATTCAACATCCTCTGAGGACCTGCAGCAGGAGGCCTTGGCTTTTATGCCCTGTTTGTTCACTCTCCAGGGCAGCTGTTTGGCTGCTGCCTGACATAGGATGTTGAACTAGATGGACCCCACTAATCTGATCCAGCAAGGCTAATCTTGTTAAAAAATGTTTTCTCCATTTTGCCCTTAGAGGCATCTTTGTTACATCTCTGAGTAATAGCTACATCTGAATAACTACAGAGAAATTTAACATTTAATGTCAGTTGAGGGCCAATAAAAGAAGAAGGATCAAGAAGGCCCAACCTTGGATCCCAAATGTTGAGGGAAAGGTGGGTTTATAAATATTGTAAATAAATACATATTTTAAATACATAAAGATACATTTTAACTTTGTTTCTAATCTTTAAGGGGTTTTTGTGTTTGGGATAAGACACAATAGGAAAGGGGGAAAGCAACCTTGCATTATATTCACTCTTTGCTAAACAGTGTTGTCAGAAGGCACCTTTCTGGCTGCATAGTCTAATGAGACCAGTTGTATTTTAATAATCCTTCCCTCTGATCTCCCTTGTGCTGCTCTTCTGCATTTCAGCATTTTCCTGCAAAGCAGGCGAGTACCTGGACATGAAAGATCAGTCATGCAAACCATGTACAGAGGGCACGTATTCTCTGGGCACTGGCATCAGGTTCGATGAATGGGATACACTGCCCCATGGCTTTGCCAACATAGCAACCAACCTTGAAATCGATTACAGCTCCAAAGAGTCCTTGGAAAACTGCACCATGTGAGTGAGCTTGTTATCATCATTTTATGCTGAAAATACATCTGCCTTAAAAGCCACTCTTCATGACTTGAATTACTGCCCTTAAGGCTGCAGATTCTAAAAGCTAGACCCTTTATTATAGCTGTCTATGAAATTCATCCCATATGAACTTCTCCCTTTGAATCTGGAGTTTGGAATTACCCAGTCGTTATTTCCATGCAGGCACTGGTAAATTAGCTATCAGCAATTCATCCATTTTTTATTTCCAGAGTTTGTGCAGACTACTCTGCATATACAGTTTGCTGCAGTTTTCATCTTTTCCCCCTTACAAGTTACTGATGTGCATCAGTGTGTACGCACATTGATTAAGTCACAGTGCAAGCAGAAATTTTGTTGCAATCACACAACCACATCAGGATTCCTGTTTATGCTGTGGTTTAATCAGTGTACATAATGCTCTCATGCACATCTGTGACCAAAAAGGGGGGGGGGGAGAAACAAACTGAAGACTGTTGTATATGCAAGCCCTAATTCCTACATTAATTTTAGAAACTGTCTAAGGTAAATCTGAATGCTATGTGAAGCAGAATATGGTCAACCAATTGAGCAGAATGGAAAAATCAACTCATCACTAATTTTGATTAGTGGCTGTGCTGTGGTTGTGGATGAAATTATGGCTGCATTCAAGTGATGCTAACAAGCTGCAATTTGTCCATGAGGTGGGTAAGCTTCAAATCATCAGGTTTACATTCTCACTCCCATCATCACCTCTTCTTACACATAGGTCCTTTCTGCACTAACAGCTCACTGTAGCTTACTCCGGAGAATCCAAGCAGTTGTACCTTTAAGGTTAATTTCGTATTCTGTGTCCTTGCCCTATCAGGGCCGGCCCCAGCTTATTTTGCACCCTAGGCGAGGATCCCTTCTGCCCCCCCCCCCGTGCGCCCACCACGGCTCGAACCCGTTAATTGGATCTGTACCCCGGACCTCCCGTTCCCCTGGCACCCATGCTCTAAACACTCACTTTTGTTTTTGTAACTTTGCCCGTCTTGCACATCTGGCTTCCACCAAGGAAGACTCTGCAAAGAAAGGCACTCGCAGTCGCAAACAACCTCTGCTTCTCACTTGCCTTGACAGTTCCTTGCTGGGGTTGCCATACGTCAGTTGCAACTTGAGTGTTCTTATGGAATAGCCCCCCTACTTCAACACCCTTAGGAGCAAACTGGAACAATAAACACTTCTTAAATGTAGTTTTGAAAATAACATTTTGGGGGGATCTACACATGGAGCAACAGTCTTGAAATTGTTAGCATACAGTGGAAGTACATTTCCAAGGAACAACAGCAAAGGGATTTTCCTTTAGACTCACAGACATTTGTGCAAGAAAATCCAGTAGCCTGAACCCATATTCATCTTCCACTAGAGTTTGGCCTGAAAAGGCACTATAGGTTCACTGATCCATTACAGCAACTAGTCAGGAACCAGATGAAAGAAGCGCTGCCATAATTCTGAAAACTTTGAATACCAAGACAAAGACAGAGAAAAGGAGAGGAAGGGGAAAGGTGAGTAAATAGCTCCTTTACTGCTGAGAAAAAAAAAGATTGGTGCAAAGCAAGATTCCTAAACAAAAACTACACAATACCATTTAACAAGAC